GAGAGAGAGAGAGAGAGAGAGAGAGAGAGAGAGAGAGAGAGAGAGAGAGAGAGAGCCTGCAGCCAGGCCAGAGGAATGAAAGTGAGTAAGCACAGTGCTCCAGAAGGAGCAACCTACCTTGGAGTGTCCGTCCAGAGCTCTACTCCGCTCGTGTCCCCTAGAAAAGTATAGAGAAGGTGCATCGGAGAGGTATGCCAGCCAAAACACAAGAACACTGGGTATTTAAATACAAGCTGTCATCCCTATTGGGAGAGACTATTTCCTAATGTATGACCTGCCTAGAATTATGAACGACCTGCCACTTGCAAGCCAAACCTGCTCCTATGTTTGGAGAAGCCTTCTGGAGTTAGGACTAGTGCTCTCCCAGGGCCATCAGGATCAAAGAGGATGTGAGAAAGGACCAGTGGCATCTGCTATGGTCCACTCATTTCACACCCAGATCCACTACGACAGTTGTCTTATTACTAGTTTTTTAAAGAACCTGGTCAAATTTTCTAAAGGAAAAAAAATAATTAGAACAGGCTGTTATAAAGTTTAACTGATTGTCAACTTCATTGAGTTGGAAATTAATAAAGCACAATTTGGGTGGATCCATACCAGTCATTCTAGAGGTGATTGACATGTCACCAAACCGGTTGAATGGGAGGGTCCCTTGATGGTGGACAGCAATATCCCATAGGTTGGAGCACTAGGTAGAACAAAAGCAGAGGAATGAGGAAACTTGCCGGGTGCACAGCTTGATGTTTCTGGACTGGGTGTACTTCTTTTGCATCTGCCATCTCTCCTGGATATCAGATTCCAACTTCTTCATCCTTGTGATGTAACTCACACCAGATGCCCCAGGGGTCTTCCTGAACATAAGCCTCAGATTGAAGACACATCATTGGTCCTTCTAGTTCTAAGGTTTCCAGTTGCTCAGCCCAAGCAGCTACTGGTTTCTCCTCTTTCTGGCCTGCAGATGCTCACTATGGGACTATGCAGTCTCTAAACATGTGAACCAAGCCAATAAATCCACTTCTATAATTATGTATCTATAGTCTATTGATTCTGTTCGTTTAGGGAACCCCGACTGATATATATGGTTTGAATGTATACACCAAAAATCATAAGCTGGAAACTTAATGCCTGATATAATAGTACTGGAAAGTGGAGCTTAATGTCAGTTTTCTAAATTATGAGGACTTCACTTTTAATGACTGGATTAATGCAACGATTCAAGGGCTTGAGGCTGCAAGTCTGACCTTTCTTGCTTTGTCCTCTATCATGACGCGCCTCAGCAAGAAGTTTCCCAATAGTTTCCAGCACTATGTATCATGTCTTCCTAGCCTCAGAACTATGAGAAGTAAAATCTTTCCTTTATAAACTACTCAGCTTGTGTTATTCTGTTGTAGCAACACAGAACAGACTAAGACACGGGCATGTTAGTGAGACAAGCTCCTGTTTCTTCTGCTTCTATTTGCCTGAAGGCACTAGTGACATTCTCCATCATCTACTCTTCTACCACTGCTGTATTTCCTTAACCCTCAGCCAGGCCTTCTGCTGGCCTAGATTGCATACCCAGTGAGGTGACTTAGACCTTATCCCCGTGGAGTCTGAGCTCCACTAATATCCATACAATTGCTCATCAGGCAATTGTAGCTATAATTGCCCGTTCACAGCTTAGATACACCAATGATTCAAATGTCTCCTGAAGTCCAGAGATACTTCTTGCTCCCTCTGTAGGCCTGCCTGCTTGTGATGACAAGAATAAATGATCCCTGTCAGGAGAAAAATCCCCTTCTTTGACTTACTGGACAACTAGCCCCATGAGGTTTAAATGACCAAGTAACAGGCATAAATTTAGATTTGGTGAAAGTCCTACCATATTCCTTGGTGTAAGATCCCTTCTACCACCTCCTCTTTTTGCACTGTCTCATTTATCTCAGGATTCAGGATCATTAGATTAGCACAGAGCAAAGTTACAGAAAGAGGAAGCTCCTTTAAAAAAACATCTGCATTCATTTTTTCTTTCAATTAAATAAGATGACTTATTATCTTTCCATTTTTGAAGACACAATATCCAATACCCACAACTTCAAGGAAGAGAGGCATAATTTGGCTCCCAGTTTTAGGGAATTAGCCTGCTCAGCTAGTTCCACGCCAGAGTCTTCAGGGTGAGAGGGCATGGCAGAGCAAAGATGCTCAGTTCACAGCAGCCAGGAAGCACAGCGAGCTGCTGCCAGCGTCGAAGGCACCAGGCACCACGTACAGGAACCAAAGCTCTGCCTCCATGGCCTACCCAGACACACCCTGAAAACTATGTGGGCCTCAAAACTCCTAAGCCAATCCAATTTACATAATCATAGATATTATGCATGTGTGAAGGGTATTTAAAGTTAGACATGACTGGGGCTGAAGAGATAGTTCAGAGGTGTAATTACCTGCCTGGCAAGCACAAGGATCTGGGTTCCATCCCCAGTAGTGCATGCTGGGCCAGTCCTGGAACCCTGGGCATGCAGTGCCAGCCACTAAGACTGGGCCTGGTGGTGCATACCTGTAATCCTATCACTGAGGAGGCTGAGACAGGAAGATCACTACAAGTCCAAGCTGTGTAGCGAGACCCTGAACCAAATAAATACATAAAAGATTAAAAAATAGCAATGAAATTTCAAAATACTGAAAAAAATAAAGTTAAAAATGCTGTTTCATATAAATGTATAATAAAAGCAATTGTCAGACCAGAACCACAGGCATACGCTTATGGACCCAGCTACTCATGAGGCTGGGGCAGGAGGATCACTTGCTGCTTAGGAATTTGAGCTTCTGTTGCCTGGGCAACATAGAAAATCCTCATCTCCAAATAAATAAAATAGAAAAATAAAAGCAACTGTCGACCCCATAAGAGCTAGAACCTTTGGACATAGTGCTTCCAAGAAATGCATCTGTTAAAACTATTCTCTAGCAATGAGCAAGTCAATGATCTCCAAAGAAACCCATAGGGTATGTATAGACGTAGAAGAGGAAAGTCATCATGAGAACCAGCTGACATGAGGATGGAAACTTAGAAGTCCCACCATACATTGCTCACCAGCTGGAGAACCAGGCAAGCCAGGAGTATGATTCAGTCCAATGCCTGAAGTCTGAGATCTTGGAGTCCCAAGGTTCAAGGACCAGGAGCTCTTACACCCAAAGACAGGAGAACACACAGAGTAAATTAGCTCTTTTTACTTTTTTCTGTTGTTGCTGTTCTCTTCGGGCCTTCAGTTGATTAGATGATGCTTACCCACGCTGGTGAGGGTGATGTTTTTAATTCCATCTACTAGTTCAAACTCTAACCTCTTCTGGAACCACCGTTAAGGGATGCCCAGACAACTGGTAAAATACCAGTTGTCTGGGCGTCCCTTAACCCAGTCAAGCTGACAAAATAAACTGTCACTGGCCCCGCACTGTCACTCTGGTGGCTGCATCTCTCCACACGTCTCCCTCCCGTCTTCAGCTACCTCCGCAATCTCTGTGAGTGTCGCTGCTTAGACGCCTGTCTCCTCGCTGTGGTCTCTGAACCTGCTCATGCATTCATATCTGACTGCGCTGTGATGCGTGGAAATATTCCGTGCCACATTCTGATGTCTGTCTTCGTTCCTTGAAGCCCTGAGTTTGCCCTCTGATTTGAGCACAAGTGTCCTGGATTCCTCCCTTCCTAAATTCTTTCTTGCCCAACTTCCAACACAGAGAATAACTCCACCCTTATGCATCTTTTGTCACTACAGACCAAAGATAGCAGAGAGTCGGACTTGTAACCAGCCCATGTGACCCACCCGAGTCACTTTCAAGTTACAAAAAAGAAATTTTCAATTGAAAAGAGGAAGTGTGATCAGTAATATCACAGACAGTGGGAGCCGCAACTGCTAAGATTGTATCTTCTTTTTCTTTTTTGGAAAAACTACCTCAAGGCAATAAAAAAATCATTTTAATTTTTATTCATATTAAAACATTTTAGTCAGTTTTTTTCTGACAGCCCACAAGCACACAAGACCTCACACGTGCTTTAAAATGTCGTTCAGCAAAGCACTTGAATTTAAGAAATAGCAAGAAGCACACACATTTTTGTACTCAAACATGTAGCTCATAAAGAGACAGCTAAAGAATAAATAGAGTTGGAAATACAAAAAATAAATAGGTTCTTGCAATTCACTCTACTTAAAAAAGGGAGGCATGTTGAATTATGTCTTTTTTCAGGGTTTTTTTGTTTAGTTGTTTGTTTTTTGTTTTTTGTTTTTTGCTTTTGTGCAGGGTCTCACTACAGAGCCCAGACTCATAGTGATCCTCCTGATTTCTGCCTCCCTAATGCTGGGATTACAGGCGTGCACCACCATGCCTGGGAGCAGGGCTGGCGTGGCATGCAGTTGAATTATATCTTAATTTCCTTTTCTTCAAAATTATAACACGATCTCCAGTGAATAAAATATATTGGAAAAAAATCCATCTTACAATAATGCAGTTTTTAAATACAAAAAATAAATATGAAACTGGTGAAGCAACTTCAAGTTGTAATACAAATGCTCCTTGACCCCCCAAAAGCTATGGAAATATATAGTCACTGTGGTAGCACATAATAGTATTTAAAGAGACAGCACTTGTACACCAAACTCATCTGAGACCTTGACAAGACTTTAGTGCAAATCTGTAGGGTCAAAAATATTAGCGCAAGGCTTAACCAGCTGGGATTTACCATGTGTCACACAGAAGAAACTCACAAATCAATGTAGCTAAAATTTTAATGCAATAAGAGCTCACTAACTTGAAACTCATTGGGAATCAAAATATCACAGCATGCAAAAGCGCAAGAGAACAAACTCAGCCTGACACAGTAATACTCACTGAATGATAGAGTAAGAGTCCC